TATTGCTGAAATATTTTGTTTCAACAATCACAGAATTGCAGAAGCCTGAGTAGCTCAAGTGTTCTATAAAACTAACCAAAGGGCAAAACTGTGTGCACTGTCAGGATCAGAATCCATCTTTGGGTACCTGAGGGACATTCACTGCACTAAGAATGTCCTCACTGCTCAAGCAGAGCCAAGAAGAGGTCTGGCACCAGAACACCAACCAGCTGCTCCATCAACTTTCTTATAAAGAGGGACAGCATCACCTAATCAACTATGACAGTAACTTCAGTAATTTATGATTGCAGCCTATGATAAAGGTGGATCCTCCAGCAAGACACCGTAGAAAGAAGACTGCTGTCATCACAAATCTAAAATATGGCACCAGATGAGCTGCTATGACCAAAATCAACTCTCCCTGCCAAAAGCAGCGTATCACTCCATTGCAAGGAAGGTTTAAAACAACTATTTAGAAGTATACTTTTTCTTGATATTATGTTCAGCTTAGAAAATCTGTGTCAGAAAGCAGGAAAAATACAATAACCAACTTCTGTCTCATTCCAGGAATAAATGTACAGTGATGCATTAAATGCCTACTGGTCTTATGTCAGTGTAGAGGTGATATTCCTTACTATCTGTGTTAGAGGTATCCTACCTATTGTTCAGTTTCATGGACAAGAGGCAATAGAAGCTGAGACATCCATTTCTGCTCACACTCAGTTCTGAGTTACTCCAGTCACTGATGAGATTTGTAGCATTATTTTGGGACGTTTGTGGTCCTGTTCCATGACCATGAACTTCCAGGTTCCATGACCTTGAAGGTACTGACAGGCAGAGAAACTTACCCTTTAGAACCCTCTTTTTCTGCTTCAAAAACAACTGAGCTAGGCTAAATGCAGGTGGACAGGAGATATCTTCCAGGGATTATGGTGTGGCAAAGGTTGAAACACTGACTTTAAACAGTTCCACAGATGAACTATCTATCTTAAATCTAAAACTTTCCCTGAGATTCTATTTCCTTGCAGTAATTTTACAAAAATAGCCTCAGCCATATCTCAGAGGTGTACTTTTGCTCCTCAGCTGGTGGTTGTACCCTCTACTGTGTATTTTATTTTTCCAATTGCTGCTCCCAGCAGACATAATCTGCTGTCCTGATCTAACCTCATATTGCCGCTAATCTTAGGCATTTTTCATTTTCCCATCTGAAATCACCTGGCTTTGAACTCTCAGCCTCCTCCTCACTACTACTTTGAGACTTCACCTTATTTTGTATGATCTGTGAATTTTCTTGATGTCCTATTTGTATCCCTGCCATTCTTTTAAAATGTGTCTAAGTACCAGTAGTAATGGTAATTCTGGTATCCAAAAGAACACTTGTTTCTATTTGTCCAGTCTATTGCTGTCTCCTTCAAGCATATCTTTGTTTGAGCCATTGTACTAAGCTCCCTCTTTCAGCAGTTGAATTTCTTGCCCTACTGGGTGTGCAGATCTTTGATGTAAAGAAAATCTCTGAGAGTTTCAAGTCTAAATCTACTCCTGGACAAACTAATACTAATACACAATGTGTTTCTTATATATATCAACCTTGTTCTACGTTGAAATTCTCTAATGGTAAAATTTCTGCCAGGATATTTTCTAAACTATTACACAGTTAAAGCCTCAGGAATCATAGAATCATAGACTTTTAAGGGTTGCAATGGACCTTACAGATCCAGCTCCAACCCCCTGCCCTGGGCAGGGACACCTCCCCACTAGACCAGAATACTTTTATACAGTACAAATATATAAGGATGAATCATTCCTCTTTACAGTGCATGTTCTCACTGGGACAAAAATTTAGCTTACACAGAAAAATGTAAATAATAGTCTCATCTTGAGTACTATGCTGAAGTTTAAATGAACTCAACTAAATAGCCTGTTTCAGACTTTCCTCCTTCATTGCTGTTATTTAAACTGAAACATTTAAAGAGAATATTTGCATTTCTATACAAATATTTTCTTCTGATCTTCTTTATCCAATAATTTATCTCTCTTTATTTTCCAATCCCTTTGGTTTATTTATTCTTGTACCTCTTCTGCAATTGCTTGTTTTCTGCTAGCACCACCTCATCTATTCTTTATCACCTAAATTTGTCTTCATGATTATTACACTAAATTTTCTCGTGAACAGTTTAAGTTTTCCAGTATTTTTACTCTAGAAACATTTTTGGCATGTTTTTTTTAACCACCCTTACTATAATCTACTGTGATTTGCAGCTTAGAACCTCCATTAATGCCCATCTCAGGCACTACTGCCTTGAGGGAGAGGCATTGTGGTAAGAGGCACAAAGTGTGTGTTTTTTCCAAGAGAGTCTCTCAGTAACTTTGGTATTAAAAATGGTCATTTTGACAACTTAAGATAGGTGACTGCCCAAGGCATGGCAATGTCATAACTACTTTCTTTCTAACAGCTTCACTGCTGACTCTGCTGTGGAGATTGCAGGGCATTAGTGAATCATCAGTTGAGTGAAAAGGTTTGTGATGTTTGACATTGTTCTGCATACAGACAGATTGTGTCTATTTTTGACTGGGGAGAGATGATGTGAGGAATTGCAAAAGGTGAACTGCTGAAAATACAGCTCAGAAGTTCCTAGAACTGATTATTGCATGAAACAGACAAGAGGCATCGTGTCAGATTCATTACACATGGTCCTTTTCAAAGGGACCTGCAGCTATGACTTCCTTTGCTGTTGTCAACTACAAAAGCTCTGAGTAAATACAGAGTTCAATATGCATTGATTATCTCAGCAGCTTTGATCTCCTCTAAGATCAAGCCTGTAAGGCTACTCAGTCTGTTCCAAGTTCATACCAAGGCACTGAAATTTTTTCCACTTATAATTGCCCTGTTGCAATTCTTAGTTATGATCCTTCACTGTGACTTACTGCTGAAAGAAAAGAGAGAACACAACCTTTCAGTTGTAGAGCTGTATAACAATACTGTATCACGCAGAGTTTATTTTTCTTTTGGTTTTAGTTCCATCTCTTGGGTACCTATGGCTAAGACTTCAGTTTGTCCCTCATTTATGCCCTCCTGCAGAGTGCACAAGAACCAACACAGACCATTGAAGAGAGCTCAGAATACAACAAGTAAGTATCTAAGCTGCAGAAAACATTCAGGGAAAAACTCCCGAAAAGACAATTTGACACTATTGAATGCCATAATATTTTAAATGTAAACTTAATGAGTGATGGTGCAATACTCATACACATTTTGATGGCAAAAGAGCAGGTAATGGTAAAACAGAAAACTGATATAAAATTGCAAATGATGTACATACCACTTTTCTCACACTACAAACTGACACTGGTAGCAACTGATACACTTCAGATGTTTAAGAGATTATGAAGATAGCAAGTATACTGATAAAATGGCTCCAAAGATCATGGTAACTTCTAAGCATGGAAGCACAACTTTAGCAGAGCCTAAAGAGAAAAATACTATTGCATTGTTCTTCAAGCTCCCTGCCAATCTGATATGTACTTAAGTTAAAACATGTTATACAAACTTATTCAATTCTGCTGAAAACAACTTTCCCTTACTGTAGGGACATAAAAAAGTGTATATACTCTACATCATGAAAGACACTAAAGGTTTTTCCATGGTGTCTCACATGTTGCAGAGAATCATGAAGCTGTAGTTTTCCAGCTGTGAATGTATATATACTTTGGCTATTTGTGAAGCAAGAGCTCAGTTCAGCTTCAGTTCAATGACTGCAGCCTTTGGTGCATTTTGCAGCACAGCTTGTTTCCCAGCTAGTAGGTGTATTGTCAATGTGCATGTTTTTCTTCAGCTATTTGGGAGAGATGACTGAAGGAAGTACCAATAATCTGCTTTTGTTTCCTGAGTTCTATTGATAGAGGTTGATTTGTATTTCAGTTTACTGTAAGGCAGATGGAGCTTCTTCACCCTTCATTGATCTATGCACTTTGCACAGCCCTGCCTCCATTTCTTTGCTTCATTCCACCCCATATACTACTCACAAGTTATATTTTTGCCTTCCTTCCTGAAAATAGGCATTTCATTCCATAACTGACAGGGAATGGCACTTGTTTTTTGTAGTGGCACCACCTTCATATCGAAAGAGCTTTGGTGCTTGCTGAGTAGCAGTCATACAATCAGTATCTTGGGCCTATACAACAGCAGCAGTTACATCAGGGTTTGCCCTTGAAAGTGTGATTCATGCAAACTGAAGCTAATAACAGTGAATAGGAATGAAGAAATAGCTGAGTTTTAATATTAGAAGTCTTGTTTTGATACACAAACCTTTATATCTATGTCAAAGATAAAACAGCCGTAATTGCAAAAGAACAAACCCAAGCAGAAAGAACTTTGTCAAATCAATAGCTTTGGTTTGCTTCTGTATGCTTTCAGGTTGTTCACAGTCATCCTGCCAAAAAAATGTGTAATGTCTTTCACAGTCTATGACTAGATCAATTTTAGAAGCTAATTGTGAAGGATCAATCCTGTTCCGCTTCTCACTGTCTGTTCCTCCCTCCTCAGGACCCGAACACTTTTTCATGTCTGCACTCACTGATGAAAGTACGCAAAAAAATGTTTTACAAAACATACATTTATTTAAAGGATAATAGAAAATCTCACTTGAATTTTCAAATCTGATTTAACCATTCTGGCACTAAGCATATTTCAGTCCAAATCTTTCTAAACAAAGGCTTGCAAACTGAAGTGGATCATACCCGACTGTAATGGGTTACAAACACAACTAATCACAACTGAACTGAGAAGTGAAGAACTAGTTAAACTTGCATGGTTTAGTACTAGCAAACTTGAAACAGAAGTGAAGATTTTCCTCCTAAATGGTCCATCTAATAATTTGAAGCACTTACATGTGCAAAAAGATTTCTCAAAAAAATATATATATATCCCCCATTTTAATCCAGCATTGCAAAGCATAAATAACTTTGATATGAAAGGAGAGTAATCTTCTCCGCAGAAGTGAACCCAAAAATCAATCAGCATCTCAGTCACTGCTCGAGCTGTCTGAGCTGTCAGAAGATGAACGTTTTTCCTTTTGTCTCTTCTTCTCCTTTTTATGATGCTTTCCTTTCTTAGATTTATGCTTTTTTCCCTTTTCCTTTTTGTGTGATTTTTGTTTTTTGGACTTTGGCTCATTGTCTTCACCTGAACTTGATGAGGAAGACCTAGCAAAAAAAAACGAAATAGATTGATATGTAATGAAAGAACAAAAATGCCACAATAGCATTTTTTTTAGATGACAGTGTTTATATAATGTCACAAATCACATTTGCTGTAGAATTTGTACAGTAGCATCTACTGGAAAGCTTATGATATCTCATTCTGCATGTTCAACTTGTATGATGACCTTCCTAATAAGACTTTTCTGCCAGAAAAGCAGTATGTTTCTAATATAGATTCAAAAATAACGGAATAGGCATGTTGTGTGGTTTTTGGTCTTCAAGAAGAAAAAGCCTAACAGTACAAACCCATGGAAAAGAAAACCTATGACAGCCAGATAGAGCTTCCAGCTTTTAGAACACCATGTGATCAATTACAATGCTAGTAAGGCCTTCAGAAAAATCTTAATACATTTGCTTGATGCAACAATCTGACAGAAACAGGTATGACAAACCTGGATCCTCTTGCAGCTGCTAATATTGGTAGCTAACCAGCAGCGATGAGTGATTACACACATAGAAGAATTATGATAACAATGTGTTGTGATTATTATACTCAGAGAGGGCAGTTTTGTCCTACTGTTTACATGATTAACTATTAATTACTTGAATGTAAACAAAACCAACATCCAGAGTAACTCTTTCCTATGCTACTTCTTCGTAAGTGTAAGTTCTGTCTTGACAAGTGTAAGTTAGAGCTACAGGATGTAAATAAGGAAGGGGGAAAATGTCAATATAACCAGCATTACATCCTGTTTATCTCTGAAAAACATCTGATGTGATCTCCAAATACACTGTACATTGGATAGCTCCCAGTGCAGTTCCTGGGATGTTGTCTCATCAAGAATCCTAATGACTAGTCTCACCTAGAGTATCACCTTCTCAATCAATCAATCAGTTAGCAAGCCAGAACTCAGATTCACAATGAATTGGGGTATTATGACATTTTCCTCTGGAACTGAATTAACACTTCTTTAGGTTTCTGCTAACAGGGACATTAAAACTCAACACATGCTAAGTAAAACTACTCAAGTTTTCCTTTTGATAGGTACATGTTATTCAGGACATGCGTGTATTCCTGCACATCGTGTTTACACATGCATGTGTGCACACCAAGAGTCTCGGGGTCTCTGAACTGCAGGGAGCCTTCTCCATGCCAGCTCAGCTGTAGACCAACCCCATAACCTTCCTAACTCCTTGTTCTTTTCCCACCACACCTTGCCCAATGCTGCACTATCAGAGGGAGCACTGCTTTCTCAGGTCTGCAGACCTCCAGCTTGCTTTCACAACTACCATGATCCTAACGCCACAGCAGAAAACCTGTGACTTTACCATTAATCAAAGAACAAACAAGTTTCCACTGGAAGAGAGGAACCTTTTCAAACCAAAGACATACTTGCAAATAAAGCTGCATCAAAAGAAGCAACATTTTCTGAGAAAGAACCCAAGTACCAGAAATATTTCTAAACTCTTGCTTCAAAAGGAAAACAGGTGTCTGATACTTACCTTTTCCTTGGTCTTTTTAATTTTGTTTTTTCTTTGCTTTTTCTTTTTTGTTTCTTTTTTTCTTCCTCCTCATTTACATCTATGGGAAAAAAAAGTTACAGTTTACAAAACAGTTGTCTAAATTAGAATCAGCATTAAACGTGTGGCTTCAATAGCAGTGCAAAGTTACTACAAAATTCTTGTTGAAAGGCTTTCTTTTCCTTCCTCCAAATTTTGGTGTAGTGTAGCAATTTCAGAAATATTTTGCAGAGTACCAGGGTTTTTACACACAACTTGCACTCTAGTTATTTTGATCTAAGCACTGAAGCAGGAAGGAAGGCCTGTAAAACAGCAAAAAATTGTGACTTTTCCTATATGTTTACATCAGCTTCAGGTTTTCCTATCTGTTCTTCTGTATTTTAACAGTTTTAACATTTAACATATTATTGCCCAAGTCTGAAAAGAGGTCACTTAACTAGAACATACCAAAAAAAGAATATTCCCTTAGGCTTACCTGAGCTACTTTCACACATCCTCCTTTCACACTTCACAAATAGCAATGCCATAACTAAGACAAATTTGAGTTAACTGTCTACAAAGACTGGCAGAAGAGTCACCCTTCATCTGGTTGTGTTTGTTTCCTGCCCCAATCCTGTAAAGTAACTTTACATTTTACTTTCAAGCAATTTTTTATCACACTGAATGAAATTTCTGACCTTAGATTTTTCTATACCAGTTCAAAAAGTATTTTTTAATTCTCCAAAATGCAAATCCACCACATGAAAACACATTACAATGCCAGCTAACAGCAAAACACTGGTTTCACAATTTATCCTTCAGAGAGCCAGTTTTAAGCACTTCATCTATTGTACTTTACAGGAAGTCTGCAGGCTAGTGCAGTTATTCCTCTGCTACCACAAATTTGAAAGAATATGAGTTAAAAAAGCAAACTACCCTTGGAGGAACTGAAAAACATGAACAAGAATGGGTGAACAAACACTCAGTATTTTTTTTAAGAAAATAGTTCAAAAATCTTGAGAAGATGAGACCACTTGAAAATGGCAAAATTCCAGCTAGATTACAGACAGTTAAAAATACACATCTCCTTACAGTACACTTAGCAGCCAGGGCTGGAGAAAGAACATCTAAGAAACAGGGATATTGGAAGATCAAGCAAATAGCTGTTTTTTTCTGCAAATTTCCATCAGTTTAGGGCCAAAAAATCTCAACCCCTACATTCACAAATACGTAACAGGCAGGAACAAGTTTTTCCCAACATATTTGTTCCAAGAAAGGACTGTTGCAGTACCAATTCAGCATATTTGAGAAGCAGATTATCCATTGCTTTTGAACTGCACAGCAAACTGCAGGGTTAAATCTATCCCTTCTCCCTCCTAAACAGCATCTTTAGTAGGAACTAAACATTGAGTCTAGAATGTGATAGCAGCAGAACAAAACATGATGTCTCAAGGGGCAGAGGAGAAGAAAGCTCACTGTTTTAAAACACACTATAGTGGAACAACCTCACCTTCTTACCTAGGGGAACAACCTCTTTGGAGTCTGAATTCAAATGGACTCCAGCATCTGATAAATAATCCATCTGTTCTCTCTCTGACAAACAGTTGATACTCAGACCTTTCAAACAGAGAACACTACTTCTTCAAACAGGAATGTTTAAATTCAGTAGCTGTTTCAGTCAAAATCCTACTTAGAAACTAGAGATAAATTCAGGTGTCATATTTGCCATTAGCTAAAAGATGTTTATAAACTACATGCCATAATCAAAAGATGAACATCTTCTAACATCAGGACATCCATATAATTTTCTGCTAAACAGCTTCTTAGTAAGAATCTGATAAATTTTGGATTTAGGAACCCTTTTCTAAGATGTTCTGAAAGGATACATTAATAACTTCCTATGAGGAATTTAATAAAAAAATTTGTGGGTGTATCAAATCTCTGAAGACTGAACACATGAAGGAAAAGACCTACTTTTAAAGCACAGGCTAAAAGAACAAATAAGAGTTATCAAAAAGCATAAAATGACAGTTCCTGTACTTTAGAAGACAATTATTCAATGTACTCTGTGATTTTAAAAAAGAAGCAGAAAAAACACCTTACTTTTTTTTTCACGCATGGCTTGCAATCTCTGCAGCTCTTCTTCCTCACTGTCTTCACTGCTAGTGCTGCTAACATCTAAAACAATATCTCTTTGAGGATCAACTCGGAGGAAGTTTCGGCACTCGAATGTCAGATGACCAGCTGAGCAGAACAAATATGCAGAAAGAAAGAAAAATTACAGTGTACCAGAACACATCAGAAGCTAAAGAACATACATTTTTGTATTACTGGATTTGGAGAAGTGAAAGAAAGGGTAGGCTGTGATCTGTGAACAAAGCAGGAGAAGACTTACTTTGAAAAAGCCTCCAAGAAGTCTGACATTTTGAGCAATGCTCTTCCATTGCATAGTGCTTTATGACCTCTCTTATTTCCATCAATTTAAAGACTTTATTCAACCTTTACTTTCTATTTTTAATTGTCTTAAGTCACTTTCTGAAGAAATTACCTAAGAATATAAAAGGAAATACTAAAAAAATCTACAACAACTGTTATATTGCCCTTTGCTTATGACATATATGGGAGTTGGATAGACAGAAAGCTGAACATGAGCCAGCAGTGTGCTCAGGTGGCCAAGAAGGCCAATGGCATCCTGGCCTGGTGTGCTGGTTTTAGCCAAGATGGAGTTAACTTTCTCAGTAGCTAGTGTAGTGTAGTGTTTGTATTCAGAGTGATAAGAGAAACTGGGAGGGAGCATAGCCAGGACAGGGGACCTGAACTAGCCAAAGGGATATTCCACCCCATGGCACATCATGCCCAGTCTATAAGCAAGAAGGGCCAATCCAGGGGGAGGTTTGGGGTTGAACCAGTCCATGGGTGCTGAGCAGTTGGATTGTGCACCACTGGTTTTCTTCATTATCCGTTAGCATTTTAGCTCATTCTGCTCTCTATTATTATTAAACTGTTCTTATCTCAACCTACATATTGTACTTTTTTTTTCTCCTCCTCATTCCTCTGGGTTGGGGCGGAAGAGGGGGGAGTAGGGAGCGTGAACGGCTGCTGGTTCTTGGCTGCTGGCTGAGGTTAAACCACAATACATGGATCAGGAACAGCACGGTCAGCAGGACCAGAGAGGTGATTCTGTTCCTATACACTGCACTGGTGAGGCCACACCTTGAGTACTGTGTGCAGTTCTGGGCCTCTCAGTTCAGGAAGGATATTGAAGTGCT